GTACAAACCTCTAAATATTACTGTTTGTGCTATAGATGAATAATGGAAGTAATATGCCTAAGTGAAGTACATAATGTAATGTTTTTGGACGCAATTGCACGTTATTTGCAATGAAATGAAAATTGTATATATTAAAATTTATATTAAATGTAAATAGCTGAGCTTAAGTGTGTTTTTAACGCAGGTAAGAAGGGCTTAAGTACCTCTTTATATGTACACTACAGATAAAATTACAATTAATTACTTTACATGTGCTTTAGTATGTTCGTCGACTCATGAAAATAAAAATTTGCACAAACATACACCACTAAAATCTCGTTAACGGTATCATATTACCGTTAACTTTAATTCAAAGCACTACAGATTCCACTAGTATGATTGCTAATTCAACACCAATGCATGTGAACAGCAGGGAGATAAAGTGATGAAAAGATAAAGCAACTGCAGTCAGTAACCTTTGAAACGGTCTGGGCATGTTAATATCCTCAGCACAACAGCCGAAAACGAAAATGAGCAACAAAAGACAAAACAATAAAAAGGAGGAAGCGTTTCCATGGTGACCAACTCAGTACATCTTTTGAGTTTTCTCCCACCTCTCCTCCACTCAATCTCTTTCTGTGATAGATTGTGATGTTTTCAATGGTCTGCCATCCCAACACATCAAAGACAGCCAACTACACAAACACAGCTTCGATAATAGACCCCGTGATTCACAAGGAGGATGACAGAAAAATGTGAAAGACAAACAAGCAGCACCCTACAAATGAGTAACTAAGACACTTTCAGCTCTTCATCTCTCAAGCTGCAGGTTGCAGACCAGGTCTCAGATCTACTGTACAAACATAATAGAATATGCTGCTCAGTGCGCAGACACGCTGCCATGGCAGTATTACACCTGGACTGAAAATGACTCAAACTTACCTTTTGTTTCTAATGTTAAGGGTCCGCCAGGCTACAAGGTTTAATAAATGGAGAAACAGTAGTGACAACACCAAATCTATGTCTTTTGGTGTGTGTGGGTCTTCAAACTTTCTTTTAGGCCAAGAGGACCGAGGTGGAGCAGAGACCCCCGGTTACACACTGAATAAAAATGAGTTCCTAACAGGGTTATTGTAACTAAAACTAAAACCATAAGAAACTTGGAGTAAGATTAAATAAAATATAGTATAAAAAACTAACTTATTTTACCTATCACTTTAGTTTAGTTTGACTTGAAGTACTAATATAATCAACACTAAAACTGGAAACTAAATAAATACAAACATAGATATATTTTTAAGGGATGTATGTAAGTGTTTTACCTTGAAATATCAGTTTCAAAATCATTCTCAATGTACACTTACTTCTAATAAGACGAAGAGCTTGTGTTTCTTTCCTCGCTCCCTCTCAAACATTTTGGTGAGCAGGTACAAAATTACACGAAAAAAGCGCGAATTGCTTTACGGCAGCATCAAATGCATGTGACAGCTATCCACTATAATTACGACAGTGAATTCCACTCACTTAACTGTAGGGGGCTCCAAAGTCGCCAAAATAGAAAAAGCTACATACAGCTGCTCATAAAAAAAAACAAAACTTTAAATTAATATGAAAATATATATGTACAGGTGCAGCTCAATCAATTAGAATCTCGTGGAAAAGTTCATTTATTTCAGCAATTCAACTCAAATTGTGAAACTCGTGTATTAAATAAATTCAATGCACACAGACTGAAGTAGTTTAAGTCTTTGGTTCTTTTAATTGTGATGATTTTGGCTCACATTTCACAAAAACCCACCAATTCACTATCTCAACAAATTAGAATACTTCATAAGACCAATAAAAAAACATTTTTAGTGAATTGTTGGCCTTCTGGAAAGTATGTTTATTTACTGTACATGTACTCAATACTTGGTAGGGGCTCCTTTTGCATGAATTACTGCATCAGTGCAGCGTGGCATGGAGGCAATCAGTTTGTGGCACTGCTCAGGTGTAATGGAAGCCCAGGTTTCTTTGACAGTGGCCTTCAGGTCATCTGCATTGTTGGGTCTGGTGTCTCTCATCTTCCTCTTGACAATACCACATAGATTCTCTATGGGTATCAGGCGAGTTTGCTGGCCAGTCAAGCACACCAACACCATGGTCATTTAACCAACTTTTGGTGCTTTTGGCAGTGTGGGCAGGTGCCAAATCCTGCTGGAAAATGAAATCAGCATCTCCATGAGGCTTGTCAGCAGAAGGAAGCATGAAGTGCTCTAAAATGTCCTGGTAGATGGCTGCGTTGACTATGGACTTCAGAAAACACAGTGCATTATTTGCACAAACACAATTAATTCAGGAACAAAACTGTGTTATCTGGGAGATGCAAGGGTTGGTTCTGCTTCATTTGGAACTAGGTTTATTAGCTGAACAAAAATAGTGTCTAAAAAGTAATTTATTAAGTATTAACTTCTTGTTTATTGAATTGTTGAACAAAAACAACACCACAACTTCTGTGTATTCATATATATATATATATATATATATATTTTTTTTTTTATTATTATTTATATTCATATACAAAAATGTATTGTGAATAGTACATTGATGAATGATGAGGCCTTATTACTATATATATACTGTATATATATGTGTGTGTGTGTGTTTACATACAAGTCTACAAGTAGTGCTTAATGACAGCTTCAGATGAAAGCTGTAAACCTTCTATTGACATATTTTATTTTCTTTTTCAGAAAATTACAAAATCACACAAATCAGTTTTTAAATTGCATTTAGAATTTTTCGTACCTACATTTTTTATTTATTTTTTGCAAAACATGACTAATTTCACAAGTGAACAATTTTGTTGGTTTTACACACTTTACACACAGAACGTAGGCCTAATGGCACTGCACATGTAAAAGACATCACATCTGCACATAATCTCATAAATATGTCAGCGTGGAACTGAATTAAATCTGTATTTTCTGCTCATTAATTCAATATGTATTCATGCATTCATTTTAAGCCCCACTTTGACTGAATTTGGATTTACTAACTATACTAATCAGTCAATATCAGTTCTTTTCTGCTAATTATCATTTGTTTCAAACTGCTAATTAGCCAATTGTAGATACCCTCGACTGCATAACCTTTAAACATTATGTAAGGTGATATAATTAGCTTAAGATGTTTTGATAGTTGTGCTGTGAATGACACCAGGCTCATACTGTTTTTCAAATATATCCATTTTAATCAATTAATATAGCAGCCAAGTATCATTTTAACACAGTGCACATGTAATGATGAAGGCTATGACATCCTCTTGAGCTGCCTGACTAGTGAGAGAATATATTGTACTGTACCCTACTGCCTTCTAGTGGACAAAACTGTACTCAACAGTCAGACTGTATAGTCTACTATCATCTTATTTAGGAGAATTCATTCGTATAGCTATTATAAAGCCTACTGTATCATATTTGATATGCATATTTCTAAGACCTTAAAATTATCAACATGATCAAAACTTTGCTGAAAACCTGTTGTACACAATTCACATGTCTTCTGTTGTCTGACTGATAGTTCATACCGTTTCAGCAGTAAAAGGCCTTTTAGTATAATTGTAAAAACATCCAACTTCAGGTTGTGGTTAAATCTTTATTGTTTTTCATTTAAGTAAACATGAGAATAAGTTTTGTTGTATTATTTCAAAATGAACATTTACTGGAGTGAAGCCAATTTTACTTGCTTATCTTTACACATTTTTGGATTAATCGTGTTAAAGTCTGAGTACCAAGCTTCAGGCTTTTGAGGAATGCTTAACTGTACATTAATTGTACATGCATTGCATTATATGTTTGTCAGAGCTTTGACAATAAAACAGGAAATTAAATATACTTTCCCCTAAAAGTTCAATAAAACGGTTTTGTTAATTAAAATCTTATTTCAGGCTTTATAGGGTAAAAGCTAGTTGTCATGGTTGTCAAATGCACAAAGTCAACATATTTCATTAATTATCATTAATACCAATAACAAACATCATCATTATACTTTGCCTATACAGGGATGGTTCACCACAATCAATCGATCAATCAATCATTAAAAAATAAATAAAAAATACTGTCATTTACTTGTTTCAAACCTGAATCACCTTTTTTTCCACTCTGGAACACAAAATAATATATTTTGACAAATAATTTAATAAGGATAAAGTCTTTATTTGCCCATACTTTTTTTATTTTTGACTTATTAAATGGACAAAGACTAAAAATATTTTATTTTATGTTCCACGGAGGAAAGAAAGTCATACAGGTTTGGAACAACATAATGATGAGTGAATGATTTATTTATTTATTTTTGTCATTCAGCCTTGTCATTCAGAACTACTACTCCTTATTAAAAAAAATTAACTAAACATTATATTTAAAAAAACAGGCTTTATGGGTTCAACTAAGTTTTATTCAATGAATTGAGGCATAATCAAAATTACATTTCTGCAAGTATTGAAGTAAAGGAACAAACCAATATATTCATGTCTTAAAGACAGAATCTTGAATAAAAAGAGAAGGCACAAGTCTTGAAAATAGATCTTGTGCATATATGCATAGCATCAGCAATTATTAATAAGGCTTCTCATTCAAATTCAGACAAAGGATTGGAGCGTACAGAATCTGGTAACAGTGAAAATGCTGTGAATAGTTTAGTGAACTCACTCAAACTGATTGACAACATTTGAATGAACACAGCAGATGCTCTCACTTATGAAGGTTCTCGTGACTGAATATATAACTGCAACACAGAAAACTGAGACCGACAACTGAATCAACTTAAGATTAACCACAAACAAATAAATACAACACATATAGTTATTTTCTCCATCCTTGTCAGAAGGACAGTTCTCTCCCCACAAGATAGGTTAAAAGAAAAAACTTACTAACTGATTAAAAACATAAGAAGTAGAAAAACGGAAAAGGGAGTGGGAAGCAGAATTCCTCATGACATCCCATTCTGAAGTCTAAATGTAGTGTCTAGAAACCTTTCACAACACTGCAGACAGTGATGTCTACAGGCTACATGATACGTCGCAGAAGATCCCGATTTGAGGAACGTATCACATTTCCTGAAATTAAGGAAACAAAATCCTGCAGACACAGTTATTGCTTATTCATTACAGAACTGCAGAATGCCACAGTATGTACATTGTGCTCAAGAGGTTGATATATCAAGCTTTCTTAAGACCGTCTTTAAGAAATGCTTAATAATACCTGGTCAAAATCGCTACAAACATGCAGATTTTGGCTGATTCAACAGCTGACTGCCAGTTCAACTAAAAAAAAATGTAAATATGTAGTCAATATTGACCAAGGCAATAAAACTGAATTATATATCCAGTGTTAGAACATCAGAAGAAGTGTTAGAACAGAAGTTTTTAATGTGCAGAAGGGTACATACAGGCAGAAAAATCATTCTTCATTAAGGCTTTTCTACAGAGGTAATTCTACGGGGTATTTCAGAGAATTACTTAATGTAAAAACACTATCCTTCATAAATTAAACACCCCGTTCAAGTAAAAAGTGCTAAACAGCCAGAGGATTATTACCTTAATTTGAGACCCAACAGACATAAGGCCGCATCAACACTAACGAAGCGTTCTGATCAAGACTCAAGGCAGCAGTCAAGTTCTAAATCACTTCAGGAAGAAGGAAAATCTTCAAATACAAGCTTAAGACTGCAATAAATAATGCATTAAGAAGCCCTCTCTCAAATGGAAAGATGCATAGAAAATCAATAAATAGGATGCGTTTGTTGTTGGGAAGCTTTTCAGGAGGAGCTTGTACCATGATCCAACAAAACAAAAACAATACCCCAGCATCCAGTTATTAAAGGGTGATCTGACAGACTGCAGAAATCTGGCATTTCCCTGCTGGATTTGATATACTATACATATCCACACTGCAAAAAGAAGTTATTTGTAAGATATTGGTGGAGAAATCAGAATGCGCATATACCAGCATCTCTACATGCGTTAAATACTCAAGCAAATAAACTGATTATGAGATGTGATATTGCGTTCGAAATCCTTCTGGCTGTATCAACAAAATCCCACAATATTAAAGTGTCTCAGTGTTGTGATCTGGGCACGGTTACATTGAATGATAGCATCAAACCCTAACATTTGGAATTAAGTGAAAGCAGGATGGCCGGTTTCTCCTCCATGACACGAACGAGCAGGTTATCAATGTAGTCCTCTAACTCGACGATGTTGGCGTCTTTCTTGGAGAGTTCGGTCTGTTGCTTTACCACCAGTGTGATCAGTTCCTCCTGTGAGAGCTGAGTGTATGCACCGCGGTCTATATTCTGGATATGCAGTGAAATGAAGGCAAAATGGTCAACTGATATATACAGTACCAATGAAAAGGTTTTTCATGATCCTAAAAACTATTGATTAGCCGATATTAAAATTATGTACTACTTTGTCTACATAAGTGGAAAATAAAACACTAAAAGTAAACTAAAATATATTTTTTAAAAGCCAAGTAGGCATCACAACATTATAGTGTACAGTATGTTGATTGTAATATGAATGAATAGTCAGTGTTAATAGATTATTACCATATTTAAAAACTTTGAGTGTTAGATGATGGCAAATCTAATCTAAATGTAAAATAGGGGGAAATAAGCATGTATGATTAAAAATCCAATATTAGTCGATACTTATGTTTGAAAACTGGAGTAGACAAAAAGTAAAAATTTAGAGTAGTCATAAATTGTGCCTACATCTGATTTTATATACATAACTTTTTATTCCCATATTTTAATTTGTGTTACTTCATAGATTTAACTTTTTAACAACTACGATTCTTCAGTGTGCAAATAGTGAGGAAATAATTAGGAAAATTACTGTACCTTTGACTTCTCAGCCATTTCCTTGATGGTGGTAGTCTTCGGGTCTTTCCCCACAGTGATAACACTGGAAGACTGGCTCTCGGTGCTCATGGGTTTCACTGGGTGAGGCCTGAGATAAAAGAGAGACGGACATATTACTGCAATGAACATGAAAACTTGACTGCTGACAACGGCATGTTCCTTTTCCTCCAAGAGGAGGATGTGCAATTTTAAGGAAAAAAAAAACGGGTGAGGTGAACAAGGGCCCTTGAAGATAGCATTCGATTACAGAGACATGGGTATGTTTGGAAAGGCATACTTTTTTCTACTCATCTCATATAAAGAATTCAGTACTGGGTATGTGAATTTTCAGTGGATCTACATTTGCGAAAATGTGGAGTATACAACCAGAGCACACTGCTCGGGATACTGCATTCCACAATACAATGTGTTAGACCAGGAGAGATTATGAATGACTGCCAAAAACTTAAAACATTAAAAAAATTAAAGAAATTCAAACCACTGCATCTAAAGTTTTTCCCCCAATGATGACTAGCCACCTCTTTCTGATGTAAACATGCAACGTAGTAATATAATTAATGCGTAAAGTGACAAATGTAGCATATGACGCATTCTTTAAAATGTTTGTAGCATACTACATAACTTTTAACACAATGTATGCAGTATAATAAATATACTCTCTCATCTACAGTAAGCAGGACTTGGCATGTGTTAGTAAACCATTCCAAACTCACCCAATGTGTAATTCCCAACAAAAGCAAAAGATCAATAAAAGCACAGCAGAGAAATAACATGTAAAACCCAAACATAAGCACCTTTGTGGTAAAGCAATCAAGAATCATGCGTAATGCAAACATCTCGCAAAATAATATGATCTCCGGAACAAACTCAATTCATGTCCACCACTCTTGCCTCCATGTGAGTATATGAACATGTAACTTTATAGTCTTGTATACATCGTATTTATGTAAATGTAAATGTAAATCTCACATCTACAGCCTTTCATATAGATCCAGTTTCAGAAAATGTACACATTGTAAAGACAATCTAATATGGCCTACAATAACATAACAAAACAGAACATATAAACCTATAACAAAACAGACACTGCCTTTGTTCTATTTACACAAGTCCTTCAAGACCATGGCATTTTAAACGACCAATAGCAGCAATCAGTAGCAAAACCCCAAGCCCACAATCCCAACCCTCAAGATCCCATGAAGGAGTAACCAACCATTAAGCAACCAATCGAACAAATGCTGAAGAAAACATTGCCCTTTAATCGAGCAAGACCAGAGATTGATTCAGGTAGTTTCAGAGTAAATAGCAGCTGTTGATTTGAAAGCCGATGGGTTTAGCACAACAGGGACGACAGACTGTTAGAGGAGTTGTTAGAAGGGGTCGGGAGAACTTTTCTCACCTTCTTGAATTAGAAACTGCACTTCCACTACCATTCTGCAGTGCAACCGGCTGAGCTTCTGATGGCGAGACCCAAGCACGAAGAGTACTCTTGCCCCCTATAGGGGATTCAGATGTTACTAGTGTGGGATCAGTTCTGCTTGGTGGAGCAACACTGGTTACAGTCAGCTCAACATCTTCGGCATCTTGTGAAGACTGAGAAACTGATCTATCCAGACTAGTATTCTCTGTACCAGCTTTTTCACTAGTTGTGTATTGGCGAGATGAATTTTTCTTTCTAAGAGAAAAATTTCTTTGAAATGTGGCTCTGGCTTGTTCAGTGAAGCTGGGGGATTGTTTTCCATGCTCTGATTTCGGTGCCGTGCTTTTCTCTGAAAGATTTGTGAATGGATCATTTGAAGCTTTGTTTGCAGACTTGTTATCTTTCTTATCAAAGGTTGATGTCTGATCTTCAAGATTTCCCATTTGCTTTGGACCCTTAATGAACAGGTCATCTTCATTGGTGGTCTGCTGTGGTAAAGCCCAGGGATCTTTAGATAGTAGGTTATCACTTGGGAATGGATCGAGAGCAATCATTCCCTTCCCCTCAGGTTCACTACCCAGTTTCCCCAAATGCAGATCTTTTGGATCTTCAGCAGTTCTGAGGAGGTCTACTTCAACAAACCCATCTGTGGAAATGCTTCCCTTCTGGCCCTTGTGTGGTTTCTCATCTATGTTGTTTTCTAATGCCATGGTTTTAGTTGTTGCCTGCTTGTCTGGTTGGACTTGTTTGACTGGGTCCTTGACTAATGACTGTTGTCTGGGTTTGACAGAAGGTATCTCTTTAGCCACATCATCAGTCTTTGAATTTTCATTTTGAATGGATCTGGCTGCTGGCATAGGCTTCTCTTTTGACTGGGAGAGTTGATGAGTAATGGCATCAGGTGTTGGAGACTTCCTTTCTGTCTCCTGAGGCACATGCCGACTACGGACAGGGGGAGGTGGATTGTTTTTCAAGTTCTTGTTAGCAGATTTTCCAGACTTATTGACAGTAGCATATAAAGACTCTTTGATATGACCACGTTGGACATTAGTCTCGACCGATGGTTCTGGTGTCGGAGGAGCAGGAGCTTTGGGTGGAATGAGTGCTTCTTTGTGCCTCGTGGGGGCAGGGGGAGGTGCCTCATGATTTATTTGGTGCTGGTTAAGGTTCACTGAGGTTCTGTCCCTTAAGACCGCAGATTTATTTGGCATCGGTCTCTCAGGTCCATCAACATTCATCTCTTCCCAGTTTCTCTGGTTTACCTCTGCAACAAGATGGTCCCAACGTGTCTGACCCATCACCCCATGCCTCTTCTTAGGAAAGAGGGTCTCATAGTCTGGGAGAGGAATAACAGGCCTCTGACTATCTTTGGAGTTCTGGGTATGCGCTTGTTCCCCATCATCAGGATGGCTTTCAGTCATAGATGCGCCGCCATGATAACCGGGGGGTAGAGGAGCCTTTCGCTTCTTGTCAGATTTGGGAGCTGAGAGGTTTTCCATGCTGGACTCACTTAACTCACTGAAAGTTCTCGGAGGTTTAGCAGGTGCCAGAGAAGAATGAAGATCAGAAAACATACCAAAAGACTCAAACGGATCAGTAGAGAGGGATGGGGAAAGTGGAGAAGCGTGGATAGTGCTCTGGGTGTCTACAGAGTCTGAGGGGGATTGGGAATGGCTAATATCTGTTTCAGGCAGTACACTCAGAGCCAATCTGCCAAAGAGCAAAAAACATAAAATGGTCAACTTACGGCTAAAACAGCTCTTACAATCCAATATGTTTCTGCTGCGGATTACTACTACAACTGAAATCCATTTAATACAAACAGGACAAGACTCCTCTGTCTAAATATGTTATCCTAACTCAATGCCTGAGATTCGCAATTTTTATGAACAACTGAACATTCATCACATAATAGAAACAATGTCTTTCTTACTATTAAATTACATCAAAAAGGTCACATTTTGTTTGGTTACTTTAAGTGGATTTCCTAAGATCTTGTGACACAAATGTGTCTGTTAAAAACTGGCATATATAAAACTATATATAAATATAAAATATATATATAAGCTTTTACTAAAAATGTTTACTATTATTAATGTAACAATGCAACCATTAATCTTTTTTTCTTCCAAGTCTCTAAACACTGTTCAATAGATAGAAACGTACCCCACACTTCCGAATCTAAAAGTTCCACACAAACAAACACAACTAAACCATATTCCTGTCTATTTTAATTCTCAGCTTTTGGAAAAAGAGTTACTCACCATATTAGCTAATCATAAGACAGATTTTCTAAAATCCTAAAACTCCCGAACAAAAAAAAAAAACAGCAATCCTTGAGACTTTTTCCCTAAGACAATGTCGCTTAGTCACTCTCTGGAAGAGTACAAGCTCATCATCTTTTGCAACCTGTTTCACTCCAAACCAGAAGATCAACATTTGACGATCCAGTCCACATTCCTTCCTCCATTAACCAATCACATGCCTTTGGCCAAACAGGTTAGGTAAGTTGCATAAGGTGCAACTTATGCAAATCATTCAATAGAATAAAACCTATGCCGGGTACACTTTATGATCATAAAATCACTACCATAAGTAAAGTCAATTATACATTAGGCTAAATTTAGTATGTATTCGAAGTAGGTGGATCAGGTGAAAATCTACAGAATCTGTCTATTTAGTCTATTTTCGGTCACTTTATAAACACTCCCAACTAAAGACTGAAAGAAGAGCAGTTTATTTGTAAGTTAATTTACAAATCAAAGAGGTATTAACTGCTGTTGAAAAGTGAATAAATGATGGCCAGACTAATTTCACACAAAAAAAAGTCTAAAATCACTGTGATTCAACATGTTCTACTTTCACCTAAGGGTATGAAACTCAGCGATACCCGAACGCTCACATCTAACAGAGAAACAATGATCTCATCCCATCCTGACAGACACCCCCCCCCCTCCCCTTTCACAATGGGATACATTGTAGCAATGTAGCAATTTTTGTGCACTTACTCTCTTGACTTGTAAGTGTGCACAATTTATTTAACATTTTCTGTTATTAACCATCTGTTAAAGTAATTTTCACAAGGGGGCTTTGTCTAAATAAAGGTGTTTCCCTTTAAGAGCAGTGGAGCAGACAGAGGTGAGAGGAGTCTAGTTTCAGTCTGGGTTTTCCTCAGCTCTCAGGTGGCAAGATGCTAACTGTTTTAACATTATCATTCAGCATGCAGCCTCAGCATGAGTAAAAAAAT